CCATCATTTTATGCATTACTGAACTACAAATTGCTTACCGTTACTAGACTGCTGATTGCATGTGTTGCAACCACACTAGTCATGTCTGTACGAATACCCATTTTATCAATCATCGATCATGCGAACATAAAATTTCACTAATATCTCACATTTTGTTCAATCTATTTTGGTTTGCAAGATCTATAATTGCATGAGATGAATAATATGTGTGTACATTAAATATAATACAGATTTCATGTCGATCATCTGTTCTTAAAGCTTACAACAGTTTTAATTTGCACAATCTTTTGCTGAATTTTTCAGATATCAACAATCTAACCACTGTAAAAATATACTCGCGCTTTACAAACATATTCAATAAATTTCCGTGGAATGCGCCGAATAATTTTTCTGTTGCATTCAATATTCTTGTCGAACCTTGTTTAACACGTTCCGTGCCACGTGTACCATCGATGGTACACGCTTGCATGTTTACTTAGCGAACTGAACAAATTGTTTACAAGAAATTTAGAACCGAAGAATCAATTTCCACCGCAAGAATGGGCGTTGATAAGTTTTTGTTACGTTGTTATGTGTACGAGAATTAATAATTGCACGTAATACATCAAGTTTTAGAAAAATATCAAAGTGTGAAGATTCGAGTAAAAAAAGCTCGGCACGGAACGTGTTAATAAGTATCATTTTTTACTTCGTATGTCTCATTAATTGCGGGACGCGTTTCACGTTGTTGCCAAGTTTGAATCAGAGGAAAGTACATATTCTGTTTCATTTGTTACAGGGAAATGCCTGCGATAAAACTTTTCGGAAGGAAGTGGCTAGCTGCGACCGATGATCTGGTTTATCCAGGCTTGTTTGAAATTTTCATACGGACCGTCTGGTGAGTACCCTCCATCTTCCTTGCGATTTAATTAGGAATCGTTGCCCCACGTTGTCTATGTAACAGCGCGAATGAGCTAATTTTGTGATAACTTTATTATAAAGGAAGAGATACAGAAATGAATAAAAATTGAACATTGAATCCTTTATTTCAGTCTTCCCTTCTCGATATAAACGAAAACACTTTTGTAAAAATATACCATCTTTTTGCTTGAAATTACTTATTTATACATTTTTATTAACGATACGAAATATATTAGACATATTCACAAGTTTCTATAACATTTGCCCTAAATTAATTGGTAACACTGTTTATATTTAATACGTTCTCAAATTTTTTCTTTTATTTGTACAGTCTTGCGAGATGAATAGTATCGATAACGGTTTTAATTTTCTTGAATCATGAAGACTTAATTAATGATGGATTAATCGTTAAAGCATGTCTGAACACCTAATTGATCTTTCTTATCTATTCGTTTTAAAATCACGATATGATTGTTCAAAATGAGAATTCTATAAGGCGTATAATATTAGTAAACGGTTGAAAAATATTCGATTTATTCTGAAAAGGCAAGAAGGAAAACAGTTAGCAAATTATATTATATTATTTTATTATATTATATATTATAGCATATTAAATTATATTATACTTATTGCAAGAAAATATCAATAAGACTAAATACTTCGATATTTGTGTAGACACATAATTGTTACCTCCTTTTTGTAGATTCAAAAAGTGTAAATACTATTTTAACACGAAACTTTAAATATACATTCTATATAGGGATATGGAGCAACTCGTATACATACTGAAATCAGACGTTACCAAACCGGTAACGCCCGCGTAACACGAAATTCCTACGATGCAGTTTCGCTTTAACATACTTAAGAAAGTGTGGAAACCACCGAGATAACAAAGCTGATTTCGCGGAAAGAAAGTAGACAATTCTGGGAAATATTTTACAGACATTCAACGACTAATACCGTGAACGTGAAAAATTTATAAGAAGCTCTCATAAATCAATAAACGAGTTTTTTTGTAACAGACAGATATGCAATTAAAAATGTTGAAAGTAACAATTAACGTGAATTTTCTAACGTTAGCATACACATATGTTTGGAAAATTATTAATAGATAATTATTTATGACAAATACGAAATTACGAGAGCCGAAATCTTGTAGTTATGACAGCTAATAAAAGAGTTTTAATCATTTTGTTTTAGCCAAGCCTGTTTGTGCTGGTTCTTACGTCTTATAATGTGGTAATTTTAAGAAACATGATTATTATGGAATACGAGAGTTTATTCATTTATATTTAATTTATCGTTGGACCACTCAGTAAATATTTGAAGCAAAATTGTGAGAAGTCGTTGAAAGTCCTTTTAAGTTTTTCGAACACGGTTATGTCGTGACATATGATACTAATCTTACGTAAATTAATTTAAATGTCACAGTTTGAACTTGCAGACATGCTTGTGACTTGATTGAATTCACTCGATTTTACGTACATTTGCATGCGACGCGCGACTATACTCACGTATGTTGACGTATATCCGTAAGTTAGTAATCTCTTTTTGCTGGAACATGCTATTGATGTTGATTGATCGATAAATTAATGACGTTCATTATATGTAGTCACCTGGGCAATATATATTTCTGCCGTTCATGTAACAGAAATGTGTTTTATACGTAGTTGAGCGGCGATGTGTGAACTAGGAAATATTCCTATAATCTTTATCAGCGTCGTTTAAATTGTATATTACGTCTTCTACATTTCACGTTTATCGAAGATTCAATCCAGTTTCCTCAATAGAGATGGTTTGATCTTTCATGCTAACACTGCCCAACAAATTTGAACTCTTCTAGATTTTTATAGATTTTGATGTTTCGAATAGAAGTGAGAAGATCATTTTTGTATCGCTCTCAGTTTTTAAGGAACTTAATTTTGACAAAAATGGTCAAAATTTCAATTTCAAGAATTATGTTTCCTTAATTGTAAAATCTATAGAAATGATTTTTACACAGAATTGTTCTGTAGATACCCTTAATTTAAAACGCTTAAACACGTTTAAACAACGTTTAACAAAAAATGATTCGCCTTCAACGCGTTGATTTTGTCGAACAGTTTATATTTATTTCGACATTTTTTTCGATATAACAAAATATGTATGAGTTGAATGTAAATAAAATAATTGAATCGTTAAAATGCTTTATGATAGAAAGAAGTGTGTGAAGTATTTATGCACATGCTCCGATCGTTCGATAATCTCAATTGTTAATATATGTCAAGTTTAAACTAACTTAATTGTGAGTATTTATCAAGACGAAACGGACAGTCACCGAATGTCACATGCAAAAGTAACTTGACTAACATTTTTCACATCATTGACATTAGCGGTTTCATTGTAATTAAATTTTGTCGGATGTACTACTAGAAAGTAAGAAGGGAAAGTTGATTACAGGCCAAAGATAATAATTTTGCTATGGTGCAGTGATTATTTCGGTCTTGAACCTCGCACGTTTTGCTTGTTTACTGGTATTTTATTTCACTACAAAATTAATAAAATGAAAAACCTATAAAAAGGGTTATGATATATCCAGTCTCAGAGGTATCCGTTACGACTTTCGCGCTATTTTTCTATCGATAGTTATTTATTTGATCAGCGAACGGTATTTATTTAATTCCTTAAGTAATCGAGACTTATAACTAGACTACGGATCTTATGCATTTGCGATAAAATAGGGTAGCTGCAATTTAAAATAGTAGATTAAAAGATGAAAAGAATTTAAAAATGTCAATGAATTATTTTTAATCTACTAAGATGATTAAAGAATGAATAAAGTTGCCATTTAGTTTCTATTTCTTTCTTTTATTTTGCATACAAATCCACAGTCTCCTTATAATTTAACCTTCATCGCTTCGAAAGCAAATTATTTTAATCATATTTATTAATTAATAAAATATATATTTAATTCTAATATAATTATATCAGATACCTGTTCGACGTTGATCCGTCTGGATGATAATAGTTTCATTGCCAGCAAAGGAGCCAACTATCAACCATATTACATGCTGATTGCGCTAAAAAGATTTACTATTTACAGTCAGCAATTAAATCTGCTTGTATTCCATCAAGAAAGTTGCCGTGAAAACTAAGATTTTAATGTCCTGTAATTGATTCTGTTTATACAGGTTCATTCTTATTGGCACTGCATGCGTTCGATACTATCAATACACATGGAACTGTCGGTTGGGCGGCGATTTGGTTCGCGTGTTCCTCCTGGGACAAGTGACGTATCTCCTTCTGACCGTAGTTTTCATGCTTCTAATCGTCAGACACAGTATGAAAGGATCTATTATGGAAACGCAGGCTCGCAAATACGTGGAACCACTTCTGACAGTTAAGTAAGTAAACGTTCGAATATGCCATAGTAATTACCTTATCGGAGACAACGCGAATGCATTAACACTACATGCCGAATGATAGCACGAACCGCTTGTCGATTCATGCAATTTATCCCCGGATAAAACATTCCGCATCTATTATTTTCATATCAACGTAACACCGTTTACGAATGATTTGCCGACACAATCTTTTTTCCATTTCTTTTTGTTTCGATTTTAATTACACACTCCACTGACGTCAATTACTTGCCATTTAATACGTGGCAGACGCGCAGAGATTGAAACGTAAATCTAAATCGCGATATCTTCGTTCGCTAATGCATAAATGAAAATTAATAAGATCAACAAATGAAAAAGACTTCTCTAATGGACATCTTCCGTTCTCATAAGAGAATTCTCTTCTTCACTTAATCACAGCATTCATAACTTCGTGGAAGAATGTTAGAAAACAAACTTTTACCGACGCACGGATACCGGGGTAAGGAACTGTTGTTAAGTGATCGTTAATGGAATTTTTAGATACTTTAGTCGGTTACTGGAACACTAAATTGTAAATCGATGTTCTATTAATTCAACATATCTGTTTATATTACGCAATAAACGATAGCGCGCCTTACGAATATAATATTCTTACGTTCCGATGTGACATGAAATTATACGTTTCATAAGTATTTTGGTTTTAATATTTATTATGTTCAATGAGAACGATAAATTCGTCTGTATTTGTTAGATTAGGAGATGAATTTATTCAAGAACGTATTGTAAATAATTCTTTATTGTTTTCCATTTTGTGAGACGTCTTGTACAATGCATAACACAAGTCGAGTGTTTCGAAATGATTTCATTTAATTCTTGAGTTCATTTTCAACTGTTCTTATTTCAATTTTGTCTAATATATTAATTAATCTCGTCAAATATTTCTGGGATATTTGTTTTTAATGTACACAGAAATGAACATTTCAATTGTCATTCGAAAAAAATCCTGTGTATATAAACATCTTGTACTCTTTGGTGCTCTATCTATAAATATTGTACTTTGATACATTATTTGTCTTTTTATTGCTCAAATTTTATTATTTTTTCCTACTGTTTTGCAAGGAGAATTTACGATCATGGAAATCGTTTTTGAAGCGAAAGTGGGTTCATATTATAATATACATATACCTAATATCAAAAAAATCATAATGGAATTTTTCCCAATGGGCCTTCGTTTCTCAAATATTTTCATTTAAATTTTTACACGACAGAAGACAATCCATGTAAGATGAATATAAATATATTCATCTCATATGTACGGTTCGTTTTATATGGTACAAGGACCATTGTGAAAAATGCTATTAGGGCCTTTTGGTATTACATATGTACCATAATTTAACCCTTTGCACTCGAAGCTATTTCAACAGTAAATATAAAATCATTTTTCTACCTTATACTATTTCTATTATACGTGATAAAATGCATTTTATGCGCATGAAATTGACTCTCGGGACTCGCGCAATAATTGCACTCTTAGCAATCTTTCAAAATCTAAATTTTGTTAATATAAAAATTATCTTGAAACGTGATATAACAAATTTTAGTGGTGCCTCAGAGTCGTCGCTCGAGCGCAAAGGGTTAATTCATTCACACTTCAGAAGCGATTTTCATGATTGTAAGTAAACAGTGAATACACACGAATTATATACGATATATGTGTATACTTGATGTTAGTATTGACATTAGTTGCAACTGTAATTTGCTTTGTCTGAATTTGTACGATTCTCAGAACTATAGTTTATTTACCAAGTTTCTTTCTACGTTTCTGCATCTATGTCTACTCCACGCCTCTGTGCCAACGTTGCATTTCTACGTCTTCACATTTACGTCTTCGCATCTACGTCTATTCCTACGTTTTTTTCATTTACCTCTATTATGCTCGTCCAAGTCTTTTTTTAAAAAAGATTCTAATCACTTTACGTACACACATATATGCATGTTCAGTGGTTGTATAATATCATTGCTTTTGTTATGATTTGCCACGATTAGTATCAATAGACATATGGTGTTCACGCTACAACTAGCCAGCGTTTTTCTTGCAAATAGTAAACATTAGAAATAAATGAAAGAGGAAAAGAGTTATGTTGTATTTTGCAAGTAATGCAATGATGTCTGCAATTGTTTTTTTTCTGCATTATTTTTCTAGAAATGAAAGTTATTCGATTTTTTAAACGGAACGCTATGTATTTTTTATATCATATGAAAGCGCGTGTCAAAATGAATCCATTCGTATACGACATAATAGCCTCTCAGTACATACAGATTACCAGTGCATAATGACTCAAATTGATTCTATTATAAAGATAGCGAACAGGGAAAATAGAACATATTTTTTACTTAAATATCGAGGTTAATAATTAAGTTGACCAGTTTGGAACTGCTTTTCACAATTAGTGAAACTTAATCGTATTACTCTCTGTAGCTATTTATAATTAAAATTGCGAAAATAAATTATCGTATAAATTTTTAAATAGCTTTAACACGAATCATTATAATTATACAATGATATGTAACAAGTTGAATGCAGTTATTTGTGTAAAATAAAAGTTTCCTACATCAATTGTAAAAAAGGCAAGAATTAAATAAAAATACATTTCTTATAGTAATAGTTTTAAAAAGTTGGAAATAATGTAACGATGTTGTTAAACTTTTCTGATGTCTCCACTGCTCTGTATTTCATTGATTCTTTTTTGCCATGAATGCATAAAATACCGAGTCTAATATTAAGCGCATTTAAAAACGTATCAGGTTTGTATGGAGTATATTACATTCCACGAATTAATGACCGCATTACAATGATATGCAAGTTATGCGCTTAATACGGCGAATGCATAAAGCTGACAGGATTAGTCTCTATATCGCAATAATGATTATGCTATAAATGGGAACAGTTGTCGAACGGTGCCAAACTTTTTACCGACCGCATTCAAATACGTATCGTATGTAACCCTTTTAGTGCCGGTCAAAAATGTTCTACCTAAGCGAAAAATACTGAGCCAAGTTGATGTAATTCGGTAAAGTGTTTGAGAAAAAGGTGATACAAATTTCGTAAAAAATAATAATTAGAAAATCCATAAAAGAGTACATTCATAATATCATAAAAATAAACTTTTTTCAAATGTAGCTAGTTCCACAAATGTTCGAATCAAACGAAGTGGATAATTCCTGAGGTCATTTGAAGACACTTTTCTCTTAACAAGAATGTCCTCCGCGGTTATGTTAACGACTTATTAACGGAAAACACTAACCAATCGGAGGAAGCGTACGGCCTACGAATTTTTGTCGCGAGACGCGACGCGACTCCCTGATTGGTTCCTGTTTCTCGTAAATAAGTAGTTAACAAGGCCGCGGAGGACATTTTCGCAAAGGAGAAAGTGTTCAAAAACTGTTCAAAAGTGTCATCATGAAATGACCTCGGGAATTATCCATTTCATTTGATTCGAACATTTTTAGGACACCCTCTGTAAGGGTTAACATTAATATTCGGCTGTCGCTGACCAATTTTTCTATTTTCACGATTCCACAGGATACTGCTGCTCCTGCCCGAGATAGCATGGAACGTTATAGGAAGTATTTGGATGTTTGGCGGTAATGTCGAGTGCGAATACGATCATTACACCACGACCGTCGTTCAAGCACTGGTGCTTTTTGACTGGATCCTTATAGGTCTGACCATTTTTGGCCTAGCGCTGATCTTTGATCCTCTAGGCTCGATCGAGAACAAAAACCTTGAAAATTTGGCTGAACACAGTAAGATGTCGAGCATTTGGTTGCGTAGATTCAAGTTCCTCTGGTGGATGCGAAAAGACGAGAGTGCTAATGAGACTTTTCAACAAATCGCTGGTGAGACATAGGTACGGCTGGCCTGGAAAGAGTCGGCCGCATTGGAGTTGTAACAATGTTGCTTCCTTAAACCTTCTATGAATTTTCTTCCGAGTATGCGAGACTCAAACTGTCCTTAACCCTTCCGTGGCGACGTCTGAGTTAGTTTGGATCTAGCATTGCAAATAGTTATGTACTCTCTGAACTTTGTACGGCTAATTTAAACAGTCGACTGTTAAGCCGAAACATAAATAATTTCTGATTTTGAAAACTAATTGCAATATTAAGATTTCACGAGAGAAAAATGACTAACAGAAATTTGAAACAGTAGAGAGGTTTAAGAAATTTAGGAATATCAAAGAAGTTATTTATTGGCTTCCGATTCTTGCAACTAACGCAGACAATTTTTATTGTGTAGGATTCGCAATGTACCAGTAACGCATTTATAAGTAGACTGCGATTTTCTATGCAAAAGAGGAAATAGGAGTTACTTGAAAATTTTGTTTCCTGTCTTAATAACTCCAGTAAATTGGAGATAGTATAAGAATAGATGATTCTGAAGCTTTCATGGCTTCGTGTTTCAGTTACCTCTTTTTGCCATAAATGTATAAAAAAAAGCCGCAGTCTATTTAGGACTTCCAATAGATCGATAATGATAAATGAACAATTTAGAGTGAATGAAAGTGTACAAATATCTTCGTAAGTAATTTAAACAAAATTAATAAATATAGATCCAAATGAACCTAGATATTACCACAAATGAAGTCGTCGAATACATTGATATTTAAAGATCTAACATCACATTTGGAATATTTGATACAGAAAAGCAAATGTTCGTCATTCGATGAACATGAATTCATTTATTAAGGGAAATGAAAGATAAAATTAAGGAAATTCTGAAATGAGATACCAATGTTTCGATCTTTAAATACTTATATTAATTAAAAATGTTTAAGATTACTATGTTCATTAATTTCTTTATGTTCTGTGTAATCATTCAAGATTTTTCAAAAATATTGAATCATTCTACTCGCTACAGTATAGATAAGTACAGATAATAATGAGCCACTCCCATTCAACCTTTTCTTTTATCTTACAATGTAGAATTAATGTTTCCGGTGAATCAGGTTTTGCGAATATGTAGATGAAAACAACGTCATTAGTAGAAATTGAAGTTAAGAATAATCTACACCCAATTTCCGACTACTTTAATCGCTTTTTTACGTGCTTTCAACGATTATTTATAAATTATCGTTTGTTCCATTTTCTAAATTTGCGACTGCCTGTTCAATGCATCCAAATTGAATTGTAGTGTTTTCCGGGAAATAATAGTTTTGTTTAGCAGGTCCCTCAGTTTCATCGTTAACTAAAGACAGTGGCATCATAACAAAATTCCTGAGCACATAAATGCGTAAATTTTAAACGCTACGTATACAATTTGGAATTCTTGAAGGAATTGCTATCTACCTGTATGTAAGAATTCCATGCAAATCACTTCTAAACGGTTTTTGAATTCAACAAAATGTAAATTTAACCTAATTTGCCTCAAGATACATCGATGGAGTAGAAATATTCAGGAATTAGTTCGATACAGTAGTTCGATACATAGTTTCGCGCATGCCATTCTTCCTGCAGATATAGTTTTCAACCACATTTAGCATGCCAACGATGATTCGCCACGAACGTAGTATCTCCTTAGTGCTTTAATCTATAAATTTCTCATACGTACCATAATATAACGTATATAACATATATCAGAGATTTTATGTTTACGATTCTCCCTTTATCTCTGTTTCAATTTCCATAGCCTATGTAAATCTTATATATGTATAGTTATCTATGATTTATCATCATGGTATTTTTCAAAATATGTATTTACGATCGAAAGTAATTAACTATCTCCATCATAATTCTAATTTAAATACCAGCTTTCGTTATTCCTTTGTATGAACGCATTAAAGCGGTGTTACACTTTTTTATTCATATAAGATAGATCAACTTCTTTCGCATTTGTATAAAGTGCAAGTGTTCATTTTTCTGTTCACGACATGTGTCATTAGTTAATTAGATAATTAGATAAGTAGAAAATTAACGAATTATATAATTATCTAATATAATATAATTATATAAAACTAATTATATAATTAAGTGATAATATAATTAGGTAAATAGACAATTAGATAACTGGTTACTAAATAATCACATATTACATAATTATTTAACTGATTAATTAGATAATTAGTTTAATAGTGTTACTGTATCAATTACAACTGCTAATTAGTATAATAAAGAAACTAATTTTCCTAGGCTTGTTAAGTACCCTGTTCCGCGGAACAGACTTAGTTCCTTCGGATGTACTGGCGGGATGCATTTTATTGAGAATACGACGAAAACGAGAAATCCACGATCTGCGTCGGCTGAATCTCTTTGTTAGTCCAGTAACTACAGCAGGTATATATGTTCTGTCCTCTGCACTTAACCCGAGAAAGATAACCTACGTCGCAGAGGCGCCTGCGAAGACTGTTGATTTTTGTTAATTTTTCATAGAGGTCTAGTGATTTAAGTTTAAAATTACTTAAAATATAAAAAAATATAATATAAATGCATTTTATTTTTACAATAATGCCAAACCTTTAAAATGACTAGATTAACTTAAATAAATATCCATTGTTAGTATAAAATTGACGCCTTAGAAAAGCATGCGCCTCTGAAGCGTATGGTTATCTTTTACGTACGTTGTCATATGGTTATCTTTCTAGGGTTAATAACGTATTAATTCCGTACGAACAAATTTTGTATTTCTATGTACGTATTATGCATTAAGAAGTATTTCCTGTAACAATTATTTACATATTTAACACTAGCTTTACGGAGCACTAAAAGCAGCAATTTTTATGTTGCTTTATAGGAATAGGAAGCATACATATATTTATTCGAAATTGCAATTATTTCAACTTTCAGATAGCGAATATTTTTTGCAAGTACAAAGCTGACAATGTTTACAATCTTATTCATCATCAATTATCAATTTGTTTAATCATATTATTGTACTGTCTCCGATGAAACAACTGCTCATTTAATTTAATCATCAGAAACTGACGATATCAATACGCTGTCTTGAAAGTCTACTCTTAGACACCACCGCATCGTTCAATGTTTAAATTTCGTAATACTAGCGACATGCGAAAAGTGAAACCGTTTCATCGTGTTCAATATGTTTAATAAATGTATATGTTTTGTAAGAGAATAATGACAGTAATTTGCATTTTTTTGTTACAGATGCATCTGTCATCTTCGTTAATACACCTAGTTGGATGTCCTTGGAGTCTGCTTATCATTACATAAAGCTATCAACAGCCTGTTATGGATGGTTATACGTACTTTATAAGCACACGTGCACCGGATGTTTTCGCGTTTTACAGAATTTAACCTGTTGCTCCTGTTTTCGGTAAATATCAGTTCAGAAATTTCCTCTTCGTACACGCAGTGTTATAAATGACTATAAATTGCACGAGGCTGTTTCGTGGATATTTGTTGTTATAAAAGTTCGTTTTCATATTTGTTACTCTCTGTAATTTCTGAAAATTAAAAATATCTTATTAGAATATTTCACAAACCAAAAATTCGCCTTCTGTAATATTAATATGTTCTTCGTCAAACTGTCCATTCAATAGATCCATACAAAATGCACCAAGCTTACCACGATAATGCTAAAGCTATCGAGAACTAATTATGAGCGAAATTTACAGTAATTTCTCCCTACTTCGCGTTCAAATTACGCAAAAAAATGAATAATTTGATTGTTATCGATTGTCAACAACTCTAAAAACGAGACGCAAGACTCGTATCTCCTCTTCCAAAATTGTCCATTTTTGTGCGCAATCTGAGCGCGAATTAGCGAGAAATTATTTGTATTTGCTTTCTAAGAACGACATGCTGATTTTATTTAGACCTCTCACCATTTATATTATTAGGTCTACCGGAAAGTTCTGTCTGATAATGTCATTGCAAATTTCAATAGATATGCACATATTCATTTGAGACATATATTTTCGAAAAATGTTGCTCACAAATTGCCATCACGCTGGCAAGAGGTCATAAGTAACGACGGAAATTATATTGTAGAATATAAATATTACTAAATTTATGAAAAATCTATTATTTCCTTTCATTTCTCAAACGGACAGAACCTTCCGGTAGACCTAATATAATGTACACTTGAATTAGGAAATTTATTCAATCATTCCCTACGAACAAGACATTTTAAATTGAACTAGATTTAGTGTTAATTTCCTACGCATCGTTAGGAAAAATTTACTATAAGAATCCAATTTTTGTGTGGATGTGGTGTCTGCATCGATTTGCAATTTAATTACAGCCGGAAACGAACTGCCATTATCGGTGACAATTGCTGCTACTGCTACTTAGCCGGCTTGAAATACTTGTCAGACTTACCCGTAGACGATATTCTTTATGCGTCATTCAAGAATCATCTATGTGAGGTTGGTACTCTTTTTGTTCAATAATACATAGGCAAGCAGCTTTTTCTATCTGTTTAAATGCTTCTAGATACCATTCTGTGTCGTCGTAGATCATAAGACAAACAATATCGTCATCGTTATACGAGGCAGTCTTTCAGTACGTGATATTCTGACAGATATTGATGCGGGTTCCGAGTTTTTCGAATGCGAAGGTCTTCCGCCGGGATCCATGGTAAATATTAGCCTAAGGAAATCAAACATTCATAATTTTAAACAGTTCTTGTAAATCCTTTATTATTTGAATATGACTAATGCGAATCTTTGACGCATTTTCGATTTATGCGACAAGTTTCAATTAAAAAAATTGTAAAACACAATTCAAATGATACTGACGAGATTTCAAATTGTGGAAACGATGATGACTCGAAGAGACAATATCGCGTGTAATTAAATTTCTTTTCCGATAATTTAATGTTACTATTCGAAGTGTATAAATATCTTTGAGTTATTACGCGCAAATATAAATACATATTGCATAGTTATGCACAAATGTAAGTACGTATTGCATGGTTGAGCACAAATACAAGTACATATTGCATAGTTATGCAATAATGCACATATTGCATAGTTATAATTCCCAGTTAGAAATATTTGGTTTGCAGGTCATTTAATCAAGGATAAATACATTTTCTGACGTTTGAGCAAATAGAAGTCAGCGTTCACTTATGTCTCTCACTCGTGTCTTTCATCGATACTGAAAGTTGTAAATGTTACAGCCCTGCATGTTGTAAATGTATCTATTTTATTTGCGTAATTGTTAAAAGGATTTCGATGAAATTGTCCAATTGTCCCTTAGCATGTAATTTCGGAAGAGCGGATACGATTATGTCGTCAATCGACAACTATAAAAACGAGCCACGAGGCTCTAATAATCGCATCTGCTCTGTCGATCGACGACAACTATAAAACTGAGTCGCAAGGGTCGAATTGTTCATTTTTGTTTACAAGCTCAGGGACAATCGGAGAGAATTTACTGTAGTTAGAACGAAAAAGTCAATCACACACATGATGTTACTGAATTACGTAAAAACTGACACGTTATTTTATATTAAGTTTAATCGTATTTACACGTGTATTACACGTGTACAATTGTATTTGTACATGTCCATCAATTTTGATCTACAGGCTCACAGAGGTATGATAATAGGAGCAAAGGTCATTTTGAAGCAACTGAAGGAACATAAGATTTTGGAACGAGCATTCAACACGCATCCTAACTATGATTTAATGGTGACAGGTATATTCAAAATATTATTCACTGCACTTCTCTTTCCTATTTATAATAAATGCATTGCGGATTTTATGCATTTATGACAAAAATGATCAAGTGCAATTAAAAAAGTAGGTAAAAGAATTTCCGGATATCAATATGATATTTTCAAATTATTAAAATAATTAAGAAAACAATTTAATTAACAATTTTTATCTTGTACAAAGATCGGCAGTCTAATAATAAATAATTGTTGGATTATAAATATAAAATTGATTCACTCAAAAAAGGATCTTAAAAGGACGTTTATACTTCATGCTATTAAAGGAAAATCAGTTAAAAAATACAGTAAATTATTTCTTCTATTCTCTCTGTAGAAGAAAATTTGCATTTCGTTTTTCCATAAATATGTAAAACCCTAAAAAAACTGTTTTCTCTTTCATACTCTTTGCGCACTTACCATTTGAAATAACGTTGGCTCAAAATAGCGCCTGACTTGTTCTCCATAAAATGGAGAATTATTAGCCAACGATTTTACCATAACTACTCATAATTACTTCAAACTACACACTTTTGTTTTGTGCGATACAAAATTTTTCAGGTCACAGTCTAGGCGCTGGCATAGGCATTCTCTTAGCGTTTTTACTAAGGTCTCAGTATCCTAACGTGAAGGTCTATGCATTCGCCACACCGGGTAAGTATTCCATGTTACAACTTTGAATTAACAATATAAATTCCACATTAGTTGCAACAATTTTGTAATTACAAGAAAAAAAATGTCTTAATTATAAGGAAGCAATATTTTAATTATATCGAAACAATTTATGATTCAGCGGGTCTCCTTTCTCGAGAAGTTGCTAGGATTTCGGAAGAATTTGTCTTCACAATAGGAGTTGGCGATGATTTCGTGATGAGACTTAGCGTTGACAGCATAGAGAACTTGAGGACATCTTTAGTCATGACGCTGCAAGCCTGTCGATTGCCCAAGGTAATGAATTAAGTCTCAAGTCAAAAACTACGCTTCAGACAAAATAAACATTGACAATATCAATTGTAAAAAAATGAATATTAAATACACAATTGATTTTCTTAATATTTTTAAATTTTATCTATACTTTCCACTGTTGCTTATTACACACATTCTTTTTGAACGTGAACGCATAAAGGCAGCAAGCTAGTCTCAACGCATATATAAATGAATCATCTTTGACCATGACCACTGCCACTGTAAACTAATGAATTATTTACAAGAAACGCTCGCGACATACTCTACTGTGATTTTAGTAAATCTTTGCGACGTTATAAGAACAGTCGAAAATACCAAATTCGTATTTTTTCACTACATTCGTATTTTAACTGCATTCATGGACGGTTTTTATTCGTATTTTATCTAATTTCTATTTTGACTACACGATTTACTTCAGATTGAAGCGGTGAAGCCAAAATTTTCTTTGAAACTTCTGAATTCAGAAAGTCTTCAAAATTCAACTCCCGAAACACTGAACGCGAAAACGATAGAGGTAGAAAGAAATATATTGACATAATTGATTTAGAGTACAGAGTTGATACGCTTTGGTACGATAACGTTAAATCGTTTTCTAAATAAAAGCTTCGACGTAAATACTATTTTATATCATAAACATAGTTTCGATTTCGTATAAATCTGATTTTATATGCGTACTTCTTAGCAAAAAATTAATAATACATGAAAAAAAAACACACAAAAGCTGTGTTGCATATTCGCCGATCGTTCAAAAAACACGAATTTATGCAGAATAATTGATGAATTAATACATGAATATCGTCGGTTTTTTGGTATCACGTAACACCTTTTTAGTGTGCGTGAAACAGAACAATTCAATTATTTTATATACATAGTGATTCAGAATATATTAACTTTATCACCATTTAAATGGCAAATAACTACTTACTACTAAAGAGTTCAGTACATGATAAAGTGTGTATTTGGTAAGAATTAATTAAAAAAATAAAAAAAATAAATTAATCTTTCGAACCCATGATTGGTTTAGCTTGTTATTAGTAGACCACGAATTTTATGCATTTATGACAAAATTATGTAGGTGAAATTGAAAATAACACGATTATTAAAAGAATTTCGGAATGTCAATCTATTATTTTTAATCTGTTAACATGCCAATCTATTATTTTTAATCTATTAACATGTCAGTTTATTATTTTTAATCTATTATTATATCAATCTATTATTTTTAATCTGTTTACATGTCAATCTATTACTTGTAATCTGTTAGCACGTTAAGAGCCGAAAATCATTCTCAAAACACTTCCCCTAAATTTATGTAATTCGATTAATGAAGTCGACGTTACGTTTTCCTTTTTCTCTTGCATCCTATAGATCTTGATAGAAAAACTAAAAAAAAATCTAATAAAAAATTAGTGTCATCCATGTGTGACCGATGTGGCACTCAACGTGTACAAATAATTAAGGAAACAAGGTTTTACTCGGTCACTATATCTTGCAATTTATACAGACAATTTTTGTTTTTCTATAAAAATCCGCCGAATTTAGTGAGTGATAGAGGAAGTTTGCTCGACCAGAAGAATTCATCAAAATAGATCTGCTTCACTAGATTGTTTTAGTAACCTACTCGAACGAATCCCCATGACTAGCAAGCAATAATCTAACCTTGACGTTACTCACCACTCTACTAAATTACTGATCCTGTCTAAACTAGCCATAAAAATCTAAATAAATGTTTATAATTAACACGTGATGGAACATTTGTTTTCCAGTACAGAGTGGTCTTGAACGGATTGGGGTATATGTTGTTTGGTATCCCTGAAAAGGATCTGAATAAAACTTGGAGTTCGTGCAATGTCATAACAACGTCAGCAGGACAGTCACCGTTGCTCAGTGACCGGGACGCCATTACAGCTCAGGTGAATATTTGTTCGCCATTTTTTATATGGATAACAGGAGAGAAAGTTGCCAATGTCGTTCAAATTAAAAAATTCGGGACCGACCGAAAAATCTATCAATTTCTTAAAAGGAACAATTTAAGGAATCATAACAGTAGTCATAATATACACCTACTACTTTTAATTATACCGGGTGTCCCAAAATTATGGTACTTGCAGGAAATGGGGGGTTCCTGAGATGATTTGAAGTAACTTTTTCCTTAGAAAAAATACAACCCGAGACTTCGTTTACGAGTTATTAACGAAAAACAGTCACCAATGAGAGGCGAGCTCAGCTAGTGGCCGAGCCAACGAGCAATGGAAGACCAATACTACTGATTGGCTCGGCCGCCTAACGCTAGGCGAACTTGTCTCTCATTGGTCGGTGTTTTTCGTTAATAACTCGTAAATAAAGCGGCGGATTGCATTTCCGCTAAAGAAAAAGTTATTCCATTTGATCTCAGGAACCCTTCATTTCCCGGAAATGCCACATTTTAGGGGGTGGGGTCTCTTCCATTACATAAAAATAAACTCGTGATAAAAACTTCATATATATTCTATTAAATATGAATATCGTTCATTTCTTCTACATCAAAATGAAAATTGATTCTTCTATTATAAAAATCTAGAATGGAAAATGGACGAAGACACGCAGGAATTATAAGTTGTCTCATTCTATAAGAGAAATTATTAAATACGGACAAGAGCTAATCAATGTGTAGTTGTGAAAGATATCGTAGTGCAAAACGTATATAGGGAAATTGATGAATATTACATAAGTCTTATTTACTTCTTACAAGTAAATTGCTATGGAGAGGATAGTTACATTATTAAATCAACATACTGAAGATACTAAACAGTTATTACCAAACAAATAGTTATAAAAAATTAATCTGCGAGGTATGATTTAGGTAGTTAGTACATATTGGCAGATTTCTCCTGATGAATGTATGCACCCATCGACTAATGTCCACATATACTTGCAGGACGATATTAAATACGATCGAGATATTACGCGGAGAAGGTTCTCGAAAGTGAGACTGTACGTTGGTGGAAAAATACTCCACGTAACGAAGATTAAGCCTGAAGCAAAAGAATCGGAAGGAAAAAGGTTTGACATTGAATTATCATTTCTTGTCTCCTCTTCTTATTTGTCTCACATTTAACATGTCTTCTAAAACGAGATCGTGGTGATTAAGTGATCAATAGCATTCATTATCATAAGCCTTATCGCTCCGATATTTACTCACGTATATACATTGTAAATATAAATGATTATTTTTTAAGTCAGAAGAAAATTAACTAAGTTTTTAAAAGATATGATATTTGCATAAAAACTTTGCATAAGAAATTTGATATTGCATAAAAATTACATTTTGCGTTAGTGTTCAAATAATTGATACTATCGTTCACTATAGCGTTGTTTATACTATTGTAATCATATTGCCTCGGAATTATGTTATATTTTGTTAATATACTCTAATTATAGAGTTAATTTTACAATTTTTGTAATCATTAGTGAAGTAGCTAGTAGTAGTTAATAATAAACTTCAGCGAAGATTTCTAAACTGTTGCATAAAATTTGATAGACAAAGTATATCTTATAGGAAAACTAAAACTTTCATTTAAAACGTACTCGTAACAAATTAACGTTTACAGGAATCACTACTTTATACTAATTCAAATTTTTGAACTCATCGAAGCGGTATAATGTATAACATTGCTTATTCTTTGTTTTCAGCAAAAAGGAAATCTCGAAGGAGAAGAAATACGAAATGCGATGGGCGCAACCGGAAGAATTTAGAGAATTAATTGTGATGCCACGAATGTTATTGGATCATCTACCAGAATCCATAGAACAAGCTATGAAGACCTTAATAAAACAACAAAACGATCTGCCATATTACTTTGATCCATGATCGAATCCAAAGAGAGAATTCTTTCAACAATGACGAAGGGGACATGAAGAACGCATGCTCAAAGATCAACAAAATTTATTTAATTTCACCTAACTTACTTATTTAATTTTTATACGCGTATAGAATTGTTGTCGATGTGTCATAATGTAAGCGTCTAATATTCTACCGTCAAAAGGAATTATGTATGTTGTAATTTATGTTAATTTCTAGGCTGCGACGAAGTAAAATTCACATTTCCATATTCACAGATTCGTTATTTAGGTATTTGCAAATGTTTCCTTTCCAACTCTTTTCTACTTTACTTCAATTCCTTCATCTAATCAAAATAATGCAATGGTTTCCGAACATCACCACAGACATTTATTTTGGTCAATTTTATTCAAAATAGTTACGTAACTTCAACTGTTTTCATTTATAAAATTTTATTCATGCTGCTTCCAATTAACGTGACAAAAATGCTCAAAGATCTCACGGATCCCATGACACGCATCTCGCGATTGTACCTCGTAGAGTGTCGCAGCTTCGCAGTCTCGGTGAAAATCAGAATTGAGTCTACTTCGAAACTGTTTACACTGCATCGTTATTGCCAGCGAATTAGGTCGCGAGTTTAGTGCATGCAGGTTTCTGATTTGTTAATGATTTTCAGTCGCTCGATAATCGCATAGGTGAGAACCGCGGTGTTCTCTGGGCTTGATGTTTGAACTATTATCTCTATCGTAGTTTTCAAACTGGATAGCGCATAATCTGAACCCATTAATACCGATAGATGACCACGTTCAATTCAAGGATGAAATGCGTTATACTTATAATTTGTCCGTGAGACCAAGCCAAAGAGTTCGTACTAACTTCATCAAAGACCGTTTAAACGAGCGATTAGAGAGTTCCCAGAATGCTATGCATTATCGACTCGGTCCCCAGCCAATGGAATGAACAATAAAATGCGAAATACTGTTCGGAATGTAACAATATTAACGTAGTCGTATATATCATGCAAATGTGGTAAATATGTTTAAGTAAACAATTCAGATATACTTATTAATACAAAAAAACTCATCGATAGAGTATGAATAAACGATGAAGAATATATTAATTACTAATGAACTTGAAACGAGCCTTCAGAAGATCTTCGCTGCGTGTTTCACGCATCGAATTAACGCTTCGAAGTAAAAGATCAGTAGAATTGACACAGTTATCGGGAAAGTGGCTCGTTAAAAGCTGTAAAATACAGGGTTCCCCGGAAAGAATCATCCGATTTCAAAAATTTATATTTTAAAAAATTACGCACAGAAAATTATAATTCAAACACGAATATAACGGGAAAATGTG